TGAGGGAGAAAAACAAAAAAAAGGGGGGGGGGAGAATCGCCTTTCTCATCCCTCCTCAGTGGGGGAGGTTATGGGATAGTGCTCCCCTCTCAAGGGAAGCACAATCTTTTTGAGTTCTCTCTGAACAAATCCCAAAACCCTGGAAATCGCACTGGATGCCCCACAGCATCTGGGTCCCCTTGTTGGTGTTGTTCCCCTCACATATATTTCGCCGGTCAAAGATGCTGAGAAAAGCACAGCTTTTGTGGAAACCCCTTTTGGGGGGGGGGGTTGCATTCATGGAAGAAAACCCAGCGGGCGAGGAAAGCGACAGTATTGGAAAAGTGCGGCAGCCCAAGGCGTTTAGATGCCTGAGGCACTCACAGCAAGAAATCCAGATCCAGTCCCTGGATTCTTTTTAAAAAGTGTCTAGGACCTCCAGGCCAAAGGTTATGATACTTCCAAACCAAAATAGTGATTTCCTCGTGTGAGGCGGAAAGTGCCACATGAAGATATGGGGATAACAAAAAAAATAATAAAATTAAAAAAAAAATCTACTTCCGTTTTTGTGACACTTTCCCTGCCTTGATTTAGGGTACACGGGGTGACTTCGTTTTGGGCAATAGCAGGGCCGGTGCACCTTCATGATGTGCTGTAAGGAGATGTGGGTCTGTACGTACGAGGGACGTGCGGAGCCAGTAGTGAGTGGCTTTGTGATTAATTTGAGAGACAAAAATAAAAATGCAAGAAAAAGACGTTTTTTCCCTCCCTAGGGCTCCCCCCTTTTTTGACAGACACAACTTGGCAGCCATTAAATGCTTTGTCATATTTTTTTCTCTCCCACCAAACTGATTGGAAGGAAGGGAAGAGGAGAGAAGGATGCTTCACGTTTTATTTTAACTTGTTAATCAGCAAGGTCTGATAGGAAGACACTTTTTCTGATGCGCATCTTTGTAGCACTAAAGCCACTAAGCAGAGGAAATGGTTGCTCGGAAAGGTGCTTCTGACTTGCTTTTCTGCCTCCAATTTATTTAAAATCAATGGCTTGCTCCTTTTGGAATTCTTGAAAATCTAAAATAGGTGGGATAACTTCAATCTGTTTGTACGTGTTTTCGGATTCCTTTGAAAATACTCCTCTGAACCATGACAGGCCTTGGAGAGATCCTTTCTAAAATCCCATAGTCAAAAATGTTCAGGTTTGGCCAACTGTTAATGGAAACTAAAGTCCGAGCGATGGCAGGAAGCAATGCCATTTCGCTCCTACTAGCTGCGTGCCTACCTTATTTTCTGGCATGTCATTCAGTATGTGTATTTATTGAGTCGGTAAAGAATGCTTTGTGCACTTAGGTAGGATCTAATATATGACGCAGGAAATCTTGGCTTCTGCTTAAAGAAAGAGACAGTGTTGGGCCTGGACCTGAGAGATTCAGGTTTGAGTCCCCACTTAGCTATGAAATTCCCTACTGCCTCCTCTACCTCACATGGTCGGTCTCCCAATAAACTGTGGGAATTAAGAGCCGTGGGTGTTGCATTCTTGAGCTTTTTGAAAAAAACACAGAATAAGAATTTGATAAATAAATAAAAGAAACAAGCTAAGCTTCTATCCATTGTGAAGATGAAAGCAGACAACCGCTTTCTACATATCACTTTAGCGCTATCTACCTCTGGTGTCTAATATTCCATCAAAGGGTAGGAAGAATCGGATCTCTCTCTTGCTTTACTGTCTGTCTTACTGGGTGCACAAGTTTGCCAAAATCCTGTTTGCTGTTTGGCTGGGACCTATGGTTAATCAGCATATCTGCAGGGCAGAGTATGGACCATGGTAACTTTTTACCCATTCCTAAATCTTAAAGAAAGGCGGAGGCTGTGCGAGGGGCAAATTTGGAATCCAGCAAGGCTTCCCAGTTGCGTTTTCTTTTCTCTTGCTTTAAATGTGATAAAGTGAAAGGGTCTTCTGTTGAGGTAATCAAATCGTGCAGTAAATAATGTCTCTGGGCCCCTTTCGCTGCCTGGGAAATTCTGGAAGTTAGTAAACTCTGGTCTTGACCAGAATTTGGAAGTGTTGACCTTTTGGACTTCATTGTCCAGATTTCCCCAGCCCAGCTGGATATTGGAGAGCAGCCCCCTGCACTATATATATACATACAGTACTGTATATATGACTGGAGACCCTCGGACCATTTCTGGGTCTGTTTTTTGCTTTTACACACAATAACAACAGGGTAATAAGTCCACTATGTCAGTACAGTATTCCTTTTCATTCCAGAAGGAAAGCAGATGCTCTGTCCTGCAGACTGATAGGATTCTTGTGATTCAAGATAATGCTCTGATACCTTTTCCCATCATTGGCAGTTACTGTTAAATTTTACTGGCGATGGTGGTAGCCGTGGTGGCACCTTGGTGGTGGCAAAAGTGGACCCCCCCCAAGTGTGGGTTGGAAGTGGCCGTGTAACCAGAGGGACCCTGGGGATTTGTCCAGCAGGATTGGACCTCCCCTTTTCTGTGATTTAAAAATGGGGGTTTCTCATGCCTTATAAATTGCTTTTTCTATCATCTTGCCGTTCTGTCCTTGGTCCCTCACTGATTTGAAAATAAATAAATAAAGTACAATAAATGGAGAACCTCCAATGGTGTTCCAAACTTTTTATACAGAGAACTTGTCTTTGATAAATGACAACAGAGTATTCAGATCTAATTTTATTTTCAAAGTTTCTGATTTTCTTTCTGGGTGGAAAAGTGCCAAGAAAGAAATGAAAGGCTGTGACCAGGGTGTGCATAGATGTTAGAAAAAAACAGCCAGGAGGATGGAAACAGTGGTTACCAGCCTCATTTCACTTCTGATCCTCTCCATAATACTCTTCCTGAGAGCTTGCTTATAAGGTTTTACCTGCCACCATAAGGACTAGAATCTTTACCCTTTTTTTGTGGGGGGGGGTTTATTTAGGCATCGGTGATGCTGGGGGAAATTAGCCATAAGTGATGGCCCATAAGTGTGTTGATGATCTTGCAGCTGTATGGCCGGCCTCTTGAGTTTGCAGAACCCATATGGTACCTTCAAGTTCAAGTTTATTGTTTTAGCTAAAAGCCGTCACAATTGTTTAAAATACAAATATGATCAAATAAAAATCATGATAACATCACAGAGATATAAATAATCAGAGACCTTTCATATCTGGGAGTCCCCCGCGCAATTGATCACAATGGCTTTCAGGAAATTAGCTCGAATATTCCTGGCCGCTTTTGCAAACAACGCTGTTCTGTATGTGACATAAGGGCCACAGTCCAAAAGTAACCTGAACACCTTTATCTGAGGGCTTTCCTCCTGTAGAGCAGCCAAAATGTTATCCAGGTAGCTGAAACAGTTACGACAAGCATAGTTATGTGCACGAAGGGCTAGGAAATGCCCCTTTGGTGGTCTGAATTGCAAAAGCTTTTTGCAACACGCTGTGTTTTACACCACCTCTGAGCTTTTATTTCCAGGCTGGTTTCTGGAAAGGGTCGCACACTAGCCTTTAAGAAAAGGGACCTGCCCCAAACCAGGCTGTGCTCGTGGTGCTACTGAGACCCCCTCTTTTATATTTGATTGGCTTTCACATTGTGGAGAGGCCACAGAAACAGGGCAGAGAGCTCAGCTGGATGCAGAGAAAGATGCAGCAAGAGGACCCTATTGTCCTGAGTCTAAGTCCAGTTGACCCAGCAGGTTTCCATGCATGCATCTCTTCTTTGAAATGGGTTGCGGGGCTGGGGAGTGAAATGGTGGAACCTTTCTAACAAAGCAAAGACCAACATTGTGATTTCATTAAATCTTTTTTGTTTTTATCCCTTGCCCTGAAGAACAGTCATTTGGCATCAGCAAATCAGACTGTTCTTGGTTCTCCTTTCCACGTTCCCAGTCCTTGGGCCTGACGTCTTTTCTTTCTTGTAGACCGAGAAGGATCTGGGCTTTTTATTTTTATCGTTTACCTCTAATAGCTGTGGGAAAGAAGAGGTCAGGGTAGGTGCGACTTTCTCCTTCTTTCTGGAGAAACGGGAAATGGAAAAATTCCTTTTCTTGTCCGGGATGTTAAGTATACAGGACCCGCTCTGTTTTCTGCCTTCGCTCCATGCTTAAGGGTGGAATGGAAGAATTCCTTTTCTTGTCCGGGATGTTAAGTATACAGGACCCACTCTGTTTTCTGCCTTTGCTCCACGCTTAAGGGTGGACAAACACCGACGTAGGTAATAAAAAAATATTAAAGAATGAAATAGTCTTTGTTATAGTTTGTGATGGGGCTGTTGTGGATTTGGTAAGTTTGGAGGGAGAATTTGGGGGGAAGTTACTTATTAGAACTGTCTCTGTCAGAATGCTGGAAGATGAGAGTCGTAGTCTTAAGAACTGTGGTCCTAAGACTATGGTTGAAAGGAATCCTTCTGCTCTGAGGGCGTCTGTCCTGGATTCACTTGCAGTCCCTGTCCATGATTCTCTTAGGTTATGTCAAATTCCTTTATTTTCTTATTTTAGTTTCTTATTTATTTCATATCCTTATACAGTGGTGCCTCACAAGATGAACGCCTCGCGGGACGAAAAAACCGCAAGACGAATGTTTTTTTCGATCACTATGGTGCCTCGCAAGACGAAAAAATTTCATTTTTCTTGCGATGTCCCCATAGAAATGCATTGCAATGTATTCCTATGGGAAGCTACTTTTCACAAGACGATTTTTTCCGCAAGACGGCGCTTCTCGTGGAACAAATTACATTCGTCTTGCAAGGCACCACTGTATACTGCCCCATTAGTGTTAGGTACTACGGGTGGTTTGCAATCAGAGGAAATGCAAACAATATAAGAATAGCAATAAAATAATCCAAATATACTCTAATAAATCTAACAAAACCTAGAGGCTGAACCAGAGGATGACAAGACAGGTGTCGTAAATGCATCATAACTCGAGGGAGGATTTGTCGTGGAGAATCGGTCTCCCACCGTGAACAAAAAGGATCCAAGCTGGAGATGGGCACGAACCGCCGAACCGGAGGTTTGTGCCAGTTTGTTTTTTTGGCCCAACAGGTATTTGATGGTTCCCAACCCTGCCTCCTCTGGTGGGTGCCCGCTCAGGGGCTGTGCCCGGAGGAAGCATGGCAGGGAAGCACCGAATGCCTGTTTGGTGAAAAAAAATATGAACCGGCACGAAACGCTGACCCGATGGATCGTGCCCATCTCTTATCCAAGCCCTGAGAGCTCACTGCCATCTTTGGGGTAGGGAAAGAACAAAAGAAGGGGACCGAAAAAGAGTAGGCATAGTTGCTAAATACACTGGCTGTGAGCAGGGGCTGAAATGTTCCCTCCCGTCATTAAGCAGCTGCAGTTTGAAGGCGCACCTGCTCCCAAAGCAATCGGGTGCAGATACACAAAGGACTGGGGCTGATGTTGTTTTCCATGGGCCTCCGATGTGCCCAGGAAGGGACCTTTTTTAGTAGCAACGCTCATCTCTGGGATGCTCCGCTCTGCGCATCATGACTGGCCCCAGTTTTGCTGCCTTGTAGGAATTGTATAAAATCCCTTTTTTAAAAAAATCAATAATCATTTCCGTACTATGTGAAACCTTTTAAACTTTCTCGTCCTGGCTCTTTTATACTGTGTCTGCTTTGAGAATATTTCTTTTACTCTGTTCTAAATTTCGGTAGCCACCTTAAGTTCTTTGGGAGAAAAGCAGTATGTGCCATTTTATATACGTGTAAATATGCCTTTCCCTTGAGGAACCAGTGCTTTGAAGGAAGGAGACTCAGGTGGATGCAGGGGGCAAAATAAGTGAAGTCCAGACCCCTCTCCTATGAACATTTATGTCAGTGATCAGAATCCTGTTGATTTATGCGTAAATAACAATAATTACATACCGTCGAGTCAAGTCTAAATCATGAAGAGCCTTTCCATGGATTTTTTAGGAATATAGTACTCCGAAGTAGTTTACCATTCGCTTCTCATGTGAAGGACATAGCGCAAATCTTGGTGCCATTAGCTAGGCATAATTGATGCTCATTAGCTAGGTGCGCTCTTGGACTAAGCCATCACCTCATTGATGGGTGCCAATTTGGCATAAAAAAACTGAAATCTGCTGGGAAAATCCCTGGTCCCACCAAGTATACTGTCTCCCTGGAGGAGAGATTAAGGATGCGGCAAAGGATTGCCATTGATCATCTTCTCGTCCAAATGGCACAGCCAAGAGGAACTATGAAGGAATCACATCAGACTTTGAAGCTCTGGGAAGGACACTCAAGGACTTTAGGGGCCCCACTAGTTTTCTCATCCATCCTAACAGCACTTGGAAGAGGGAAAGGAAAGGAAAACAGTCTGAGTGAATCGGCTATGGAAGTGGTGCCAACATCAGGGACTAGGATTTTAGGACCATGAGGTACACTCGGAAGATGGGCAGCTGTCAAGTGATGGATTGGCCAGGACGAGGGAGAATGTGTTTGGTCACAGCATGAAGAACTTCATCACGAGTGCTGAAGGCATTCAAGAGAAAAGTAGACAACCATCTGTCAGATATATTTGCAGTCCTGCACGTGGGCTTGAGGGCCTTAGAGGCCCCTTTCAGCTCCATTCTTCTACAATTCTAAGACGTATGCAAGCATAAATCAGCAGTGGGATTCTGGTCTTTGTTCTTCTAAGTTAATAAAGGATTTTTCCCCTTATGTTGTTTAACTATTAAGAAAACTGTGAAGGTGTGATGCTAAATTTAGCACACCTCCCGAAACGCTTGTATCTAGAGAAGTTTTCCTCCTTAGGATAATTACCTGGGGGAAGTTAAGTATAACTTTGAAATCACCAAAGCTGGCTGGTGTCGTAGCCATTCATTATTTCCGTTGGAAATCTTACGAGGCTGGGTTTTAAAGCAGAAAACCTTCAGTGGAACAAGACGGAGGCAAAACCCTAAAAGTTATGAAACATGTTCTACTGACATTCTGTCCGCAGGAAATAAGGTGGATAGGCAGAGGCAAAGAATTCCCCCACAAAGGTTCTGAATTATTCTTAGACGTAAATCTGCATTGGTCTCCCACGCAATTCTCAGAATACTCATTTTGGATTATAATTCCTAGAACTCCTCCAACCAGTGTAGACATTGACTGGGCTGACTAGAAATTCTGCAAACGTTAAGTTTTTGTTTTTTAAAAGACTTTTTGAATGTTGATGTTCCAGTGCTAGCATTCTCACAATTTTATGGGGAATGCCGTTTGTTTTAGATGCTATAGCTTTCTCTCACTTTTCCTCTAGTGACATAAGTTCTTCCCACACCATTGATCTTGGCAGTTTTAACTCATGCTCCCACCCCCTTTTCCAAGCTTGGTTCTTACTCGGTCATGGGATCTGTTCAGATTGAAGCAGTATGTCTTTGACCTGACTGTATGTCTTTGATCACCCTAAGCCCCATCTGACATAGACGGCAGATTCCCGTTCCGGATCTGGAGAATGCTTTAACCTACTAGCCATGTCCCAGCCCAGAGTTCTAACACCATGAACAGAGGCGAAGAACGTGTGGCCGTTACAATGTTTTGGCCCATGTCTCGCATTCTTCCTTACCATTGGCCATGTTGGGTGGGGTTGCTAGAGGTTGTTGGTTGAAACATCTGGAAGGATAGAGGATCCTCACTCGTCCAGTAAAGTACTGTATATGGACAGTCAATGAATGGTTAAATGTAACAGAGGGAGAGCTTGCGAAATTTCACCTACAATGGGAGATTTATGATGGTGGTTCTACTAATCATCATCAGAGAGAGGTAAAAGAGTCTGCATTTGCTACAGGGTTCCCGCTGTACATCATGTGTCTGCAGAACTTAGGAAAAAATATTTTTGAGTTCCATTAGGACCTCCCTATCTTAAGGATCAGTATCCACTAATTCACTTATCCGCTGCCTGAAAATACTAAGTAAAAAAAATCCAGAAATCTACCTATTTATATGTATTTCCAGGGTGTATTTCCCAGAACTGGCTACTAGAGGAACTCAGAGATCATGCAGTGTATAGCGTTCAATACTGTACAGTATTTCCACTTTTTCAGCCCCTGTTAGAGATCATGCAATGTATAGCATTCAATACAGTATTTCCACATTTTTCAGCCCCTGTAGGGGCGCTTAGAACTGATCCCCTGCAGATACTGTATAGTCCGGAAATGTAGCTTCCGCAAAGGGAGTAAGGCTCAAGTCCTCCTAGGTGAAGGTGCCACGTTAGCAGCATAACATTTTCTCCCTCTTCCCGGTTCTTCATGTATCATTGCTGTAGGAAGTGCACCTTTCACGTAGCAGTTGCCCTAACCTTTTTTTTTCTGTGTGTCTCTACAGCTGATGAAGAGTTTGAAGAGGCTTTCCGAGTTGCCTATCACGGTTGATATTCTTCTGGTAAGAGCTCTTTCTCCCTGATCTATTTTAAACGTAGCCATGCATTCGCTCGGTCGATTGAAAGCTGAGATGCTTCTGCACCTTGATGGAAGAGAGCTGTACGCCGTTTGGGGAGGTTCATGAACCTGTCCACTTTTCCATAAAGGTACAGTTGATGCCAGCCATCCAGAGACACATTTTATCTGGAGAAAAGTGTACCTGTAACACAGGCTGATGCTTTAATTAGAAAAAGGCTGGGATACTGTATTGTCCTCTGTTTGGGGCTGCCCTTGAAGACGACTAAAAAAAATGCCGAAATGACCCAACGAACAAGTGCAGCATTTGGCAATAAGAACACAAAACCTTTGGAATGTCTTGCACCTATTTTGCACAGCTATAAAGGTCGGCCTCTATTTTTTGAATTTGTTGAACATGGTCTTTAGACACCTAAACTATTTGAGACCATGTCGTATGAGCCGGCCTGGGCTTTACCCTGCTCTCTGGGCCGCTGGTTGTTAAGAGAGATTAGACGGATGGGTACGAAAGCTGGGGCCTTTTCAGTAGTGGCCCTGGCCCTGCGGAACTCACTTCTACAGGAAAGAGGTGACATCCATCCAAACAAACTTCAGGCTAACTTTTTAAATTTAAATTTTCACTTCTGTCTTTTTTTCTTTCTTTACATGTTAGAAGGATTAACTGATTGCTTTCCATTTTACATATTATGGTTTGAATTTGGTCCTTATCTGTTCTTATTCATTCTGTCCTTTACCATATTTCACGTGGTGCCCTGGAAGGACAGTTTTGCCCTGAAAGTGGTTTGTAAATGATCGAATCATAATTTTCTCCTGCGCTTTGCCATGATCTTTAGTTCTGCACCCATAAGGTCCCCAATTTTAAATCTGGAGAAAGAGCTCTTTAACCCTTCCTTGTCCCTCAGGATGAACAGGGGGGAATTTAGGCTCAACTGAGGTAGGTGCAGGACTGTCCACTTTTGTGTACAAGCCAAGGAAGATTTGGGGAAATAATAGTGAGCAACTGAGGCACCTCTAAAGCTGCCATAAGCCTGAAGCGATGTAAAGGCACACAAGAACAGCAGATTTAAGTAAGTAAGCTTTATTGATGGTTGGCGTGTGTGGTTGTGGGAACAGAGACAATGTTAACCTGCTCAAGGCCTTTCAGGATGCCTACTTATCTTCTCTCTCCATGGCTGTCCAACTCTGAACTCCTTTCCTACCTATCCTCTGCAGGAAACCGGAGTAGGAAAGACGGTGAACAGCTTACGGAAGCACGAACAGGTTGGAGACTTTGCCAAGAACTTGGTGGCCCGGTGGAAGAAGCTGGTGCCTGTCCCGCCGGAAACAGAGCGGTAAGCCAGCCCCGGGTGCTGTCCTCTGAGGCCGGCCCTTTCTTGAGGCCATCTTGGAAGCTTGCGCTTCTTCTCTTCCATGTGCTGTGCTTTATTTTTGATCTGCGGCTGAAGGGGAAGAGAGCTGCCGCATGCGATGTCCAGTTGGAGATCTGAAGTCTGGGTCTTCTCAAGCCCCTGCTCTGTTGGGGAAGCGGGAGTTTAGGGTGCTACAAAAAATAGTTGTGGCTCACTGAAGGCCTTCCTGGGCCCTTCCCCTAGAGAGGCTGGGATTGAACACACGCAATGCACATGATTTTCATCAGATCCACCCTGTGGATGGATTTGATGGGGCCTATTTAGTGATGGAGTGCGGGGATATTTTAAAGCTACGTGAGTGTATGTAGTGGCAGTTCCTCAGTCATAACGACCTGAAAACGGGTCACAGAAAAAGGGCCTTACAGTATTTATTTTATTTAAAATATTGTTTACTTCCCCTTTCTCCTTTAAAAGGACCCAAGGTGGCTTACACCACTAAAAAACAATATTTAAAGCAAAGAGCAATAAGTATACAAATTTTGAAAAGGACCAAACAAATACCACACTAAAAGACAGTAAACAAAGCAACCCCCCCCCAAAAAAAACCATATTCAAAGCTGTAAAGCACATCAATACATTAAAAAGCCCAGCTCAGACAGCCAGTTGCTAAGAGGAAGGTCTTTGCTTGCTTAGGGAAGGAGAGCCAAGATGGGGCCAGGCTGGCCTCCAGTGGAAGGGAGTTCCACAGTCTGGGAGCAGAGACAGAGAAGGCCCTCTCCTGTGTCCCCACCAAATGCACCTGTGATGTTAAAGCCCGGGCAGGCTCATAAAGGGAGACGCGGTCCTTGAGACAGCTTGGACCCAAAGCATTTGGAGCTTTATAGGTTAGAACCAGCACTTGGAATTCTGCCCATTGTGTGCGGGAGCTTCTAGCTTGCATCTCCAGCATCTTTAGGTAGGCCTTGAGGGAGCTGCAACGAGCCCTTGTAGACCAGGGGTGGCGAAACGGAAGCTTTGGGGCCGGATCCAGCTCTTCCAAGTTCTCCTCACAGATGGAAGGAGGCACGCCCTGAGTCTCACAAGGACACAGGAATGTGCGATTTCACATCAGAAGTGGTGGGGAAAAAAATCAGGTGACACCAAGTCCGGAGGGACGGTGGAATCACCTGCCTCAACGTCTGGTCCTTTAGATGTTTTGGACTGTAATTCCAGAACGGCCCAGCTCATATTGGCCAATGCTCGTGACGTCCAGAACATTTGATGGAGCACCTGTTGATCTATGAGATGCTGACTGGGAAGGAGGCCTGCAGGGTTGTGTTGTCCTGGTGCACTCAAAGGCTGTCACTGCACCCAAAGCAGAACTAGATTGCAGCAGAACTGTAATCTGCTTCTTTCAGGAGTTGGTCAGGAAGAGGCAAATGCAGGGGCCAGTGGGAATGGCAGAGAGCAGCTTCCTCCCTTTTATTGTTCCCGTGCTCTCGTGGGAGCCTTGGGCTCGCTGGGCTTGCTTTTACTGGGGGGCGCCGACCGTGTTCACAGTGCACAGTCTGGGGATTGCTGGCTTTGTTGGTGAGCAGAAATATCAGGGCTGGGAGTGGATGCAAACAAAAGCAGATCTGGATAGCCCCCCCCCCCCCAGCCCTGTTGCTCCAGGCGGTGACTAAATATGTGTTGCTGTGTAACCTGAACCACAGAGGGCGGCACCATCTGCGCAGTATCTTTCCACGCATTGTGTGGCAGAATCTCTGCGCCAGAGTTTTGCTTTTCAAAACAGGAGGCTGCGAAAGGCTGAATTCGCTGGGTCGGTAATGCTTGTGGACCGTTGGCTTCACGTGCTGATGTGTGTGTGTATGCATTGCGCGCGTGTGTCAAATTCTGTGAAAACTCTACAAAGCCTCAGCTTGGAATTTTGGGAAGAGCTGAACGATAGCAAGAAGAAAAATCGAGAGCTGCCAATGTGTTTTTGAAAAACAAGGGGAAGGAAGGAAGGAAGAAGCTGTGCTCCCTGAGTGCAGGGATATTTGTTTAAAATCATTTTTATTAATTTTTGAGAAAGATATCATAGGTGAATACAGCTGGATACAGTAAGAGCCCCTTATCCCCAGGATCAGTATCCGCTAATTCACTTATCCACGGTCTGAAAATATTAAAAGAAAAAATTTAAAAACCCAATATTTTAAATGATAAGTTACCAGAACACGGCCACTAGACAAAGCCAGAGACTGTCCCATGTATACTGTTCACTAGCGAGTTATATTTCTGTCATGTCATTACCAGAACTGGCTACAAGAGGGAGCCAGAGACAATGCTATGTATAGCATTTGCTATAATCCACATTTTTCAGTATCCACAGTGAGGATTTAGAACTCATCCCGCCTGGATATGGGGGTCTTACGGTACATTTGTGTATGTTGAATGAAAGAGAAGAAGAAGAAAAACAGTGGGGGAAAGGGGCAGGAAAAAGAACCAAAGGAAAGGAGTCTGAGATTAGTCCTTTTCACTCATCATCTGTCTTCAATGACTCCAAAGTCCCTCAGATCGACAATGCCTCAGAGATGCATATCCAGCTATGCACCCCAAATGTCTTTCTACAGATCAAATCTTAGCATTTGTTGTTGTTTAGTTGTTCAGTCGTGTCTGACTCTTCGTGACTCCCATGGACCAGAGCACGCCAGGCCCTCCTGTCTTCCAGTGCCTCCCGGAGTTTGGTCAAATTCATGTTGGTCGCTTCGATGACACTGTCCAACCATCTCATCCTCTGTTGCTGCCTTTCTCCTCTTGCCCTCACACTTTCCCAACATCAAGGTCTTTTCCAGGGAGTCTTCTCTTCTCACGAGATGGCCAAAGTATTGGAGCCTCAGCTTCAGGATCTGTCCTTCCAGGGAGCACTCAGGGTTGATTTCCTTCAGAATGGAGAGGTTTGTTCTCCTTGCAGTCCAGGGGACTCTCAAGAGCCTCCTCCAGCACCACAATTCAAAGGCATCCATTCTTCGGCGGTCAGCCTTCTTTATGGTCCAGCTCTCACTTCCATACATCACGACAGGAAAAACCATAGCTTTGACGATGCGGACCTTTTGTCGGCAAGGTGATCTTAGCTTATGCTAGTACAATAACCCGTTCAAAAGTTGCAAAGGCGGCAGTGAGTTCTGCTCACTGATTTATTGATGGAGTGCGGGGATATTTTAAAGATACGTGAGTGTGGTGTAATGGGAGTTCCTCAGTCATAACGACATGAAAACGGGTCTCAGAAATTGATAGAGTAGCTACGGCATGCCCTGGCTGCATACTGTGTCTACCCACGTGAAGTGGAGTGGACCTAGGCATGATTAGGGTTGGTTCAGTCTTCTCTTGTGGACTTATTCTGATCTACTTTTTCTTTTTTCCCCCCAAGACATAGCCTTGAACCTGTTGAGCGCAACTACGACCGAAGCGTCCCTCGGAAACGGCAGCTAGAGCCGTCCCCGCCGGTGGATGACGAGGTTGAGCAGGACTACCCGGAGGTGTATCAGCCTTCTGGAAGCCAAATATATGACCTAGACCATGGCGTGAAGAAAGCCAAGCGGTATGCAGAGCCCGAGAGGGCCCATCCGCCCGTGAGCTATGGTGCTCCGGACAGAAGGACATGGGGCGGACATTCCCCCGCGCTCTCAGACCAGGAATGCTCCGATTATGGGCAGGCGCCTTTGCCTGAACCGGGCGAGAGCCCTCCCGAACTGTATGTGGACCTCTGTCCTCCTGAGGACCAGGAAAGAGAGCCAAAGTCTCTTAACCAGAAAGCCAACAAAGGCCACAGCTTTCAGGACAGGCAGGAAGGAAGCCACAGTCGGCCCTTGAGCGACTCCCAGGACAAAAGCAGCTCGGGTCGGAGCAAGGAGCATAAGTCTTCTCACAAGGAGAAGCAGCGGGCAGAAGCCAAGGGAGAGGAGCGGGGCCCTTCTTTTAACCTCCAGCGGCTGCAGAAAGGTTCTTCCAAGGAGCCTCCCCGAGAAGCCTCTTTGACCACCAGCAGCGCCGGCAAAGAGAGGCTGAAGACCAGCTTAGATGGTTCTAAGCGGGAGAAGAAAAGAGAAAGCAGCGGCGCCAAGAAGGAGAAGCTACACGCCGACGTCGAGGAGACCTCAGAGGACTACGGGAAGAAGCAAAAGCTGATGGACTCTGAGAGAGCCAAGCCAGAGAAGGCGAAGCTCAGTGCAGAGGGTGCTCATGGAGACCGGGAGAAACGAAAACCGGAAGGGGATTCCTCCAGTCGGAACAAGGAGAAAAAGGTTTCTTCCGGCAGCTTAAAAACCCCGGAGGGCAAAGCCAAAGCTCCCGAGTCCCACAAAAGAACAGTGGGGTTCTCCCCTCCCAATCCCAGGGAAGGAGAAGGGGAGGATGAGTACGAGCAGCCCACGATGTCCTTCGAGTCCTACCTGAGTTACGACCAGCCTCAGAAAAAAAAGAAGAAAGTGGTCAAGACCCCAGCTCCCGTCGTCGCGGAAAAGGACAAAGACCGAGGGCTCGGGAAGCAGAACGGTTCCAAATCGAATGCCAAAAGCGCCGAGGCGAGCCGGAAACTCCACAAGCAGGCCAGCGAGAAGAAGCCGTCGGGGGCATCCAAACCGAAAAAGGTGAGCGTGACCTCAGGGGGGTTGTGCCTCCCTTGGTGGGAAAGCCGCCCGTTCACACAGGTAGCCTGTTGCCATGAAGCCACCTCGAGGTGGCCCATTTTGGGCACTGTGGCAGCTGAGAGGGCAGTGGTGGATCGGGCCCGTGGGACGCAACTTGGTGGGCGGCTCGCTCGCGTTGAAGGGGAACATCCGAGGCCTACAGGGTGGATTTGATGTAAATCAGATTGATTTAAGACACAATGTTAAGTAAGCATGGAAGGATTTTATAAATAATAGTAATAATAAAAAGAAAATTTAAAAAAAAGATTGATTTAAGTCATGATTTAAATTAAATGTTAAATCACAATTTAAGGGGTGGAAAGGAAGTCAGGTTTTTCTGACGATTTAAATTTAGAAAATCAGTTTTTAAAATTTAAGACGTGTTTTAAATCAAGTTGTTTTTTAAAATCATTGATTTTTTTAAAAAAAATCCGCCCTGGATGCCTCCCATGCATTTCCCGCTCATTTCCACAAGGTCCTGGGCAAAAAAAAAACTTCCTTCTCTAGAAGGTGCGCGTCAGCGGTTAAAATGTTTTTGGGCCACTCCTGTTTTCATGATCTCGACGTTCTCTGCGCAAAGGTCTCTCAAGCCCTGTCTTCTTTGGTTCCCCTTCTCTAGGCATTGCATGTTCACCTCAGAGCTTGGAAAAATTACTTTTTTGGACTACACCTCCCAGAATGCCTCAGCCAACCTAGCCAAGAGAGTCACTTTTCCAAGCTGTGATCCAGCTTTTCCCTTGGATTAATTTGTTTGGAGACCAAGCCCATTTCTACCGAGGTTTCAAAGGTGGGCCTAGTTCCAGTAAATGTTGAGTTTATTTATCGATATGTATTAAACCGCTGACATATGAGGATTAAAAGCAGTATCCAGCCTTAGGAAATCCACAATACGAAATATGCATATAATACATATAATGTCTGCCACAGAGGAAAATACACATTGGGCTGAATTCCACCAGGAAGCTTGCAAAAATAGGTAGGTCTTCAACACACACACCCCCAAGTAAGAATTGTTGGAACAAGTCCAATATTGGGACATTGAGAAGCATTTGACATATTAGATTTCATCATATTAAGCGCCCTTCTCCAGTAAACCACAGACCAAACATCAGAAGCTTGTATCAACACCAGCTTTTTCAGACAACCTTAAGGATCAAGGGAATCAATTGGAGAGAAGTCAAACCCCTCAAATAATCAATTCCAAAGTTGTTCGGGGCTGGCTTTCTATACTTAACAAAGTCCCATGTTATTTATGGCATGATATATTAATAACAAAATCTTAAAATATGGCAGCAAATATCCTGTTACCCATGTCCACCTGCACAATAAGAATGACATCATTATTAGTGCTAGATTGCCAGTAATTAAAGACTACTTTTTCAATTTTGGGTTGGGTGTGACCTCATCTCATTGCATCTGAGTTGCATGCACCTTCAAACTGGAAAAGAAACTACAATTATCGGCAACCTACCATTGATGATGGTGGTGTTCCCATTCTGCAGGCCAAGTTGTTCAGCAGGATACTGGTCATTAGATAGTAAATGTCGGGGAAGGAAAACAAAGCAGATATATTTTAGCCTAAGGTTTTATGAACTGCAATCCATTTCTGCAAATCTACAGAATATAAGAATTCCCAAAGATGTAGCAAAGTTCGTCTGTTTCAATATCGCAAAGAAGAATACACGTTTTGTAATACCTTTAAAGCGAATAGATTTATTTTAGTATGAAGTTTTTGCTGAGTTCCCTGTATTTCTCCAGACATGTGGGGAAATATGTAATATATCTATGTAATATAGCTACATCTGCTTATCTGAAGAAGATGATAGTAATCCACCCATGTTTTTCATAAAATAAATCTATCCGTCTTACGGCTCTTCTTTTTCTCTTTTGTTACATGGAATGTGTTGTTAGAAATTCTGGAGCATGTGAAATATATATGGTTGCAGGTGAGATCAGGGTGAAATGGGATGCAGAACATAGAACTTTGGTTATAGGGAAGAAGCACTACAAATATCCTATCAGTTTATTACCTCCTGAAGAAGTAAAACAACACATTGTGTTTTTAAAAAGTTTGTTTTGTTCTGTTCTGTTAAAACCAGAGCACACACAAAATAATTAAAATAATCAACCTATGGATTCATGCAGTGTGCTGAGAAAGCATTGTTTTGATCCACATCTTGAGTGACAGGCTACAAGTTTTGAAGGTATCTAAATTCAGCTTTCTCTTATTCAAAATAAACAGGAATAATCTCACATATGGCACAAACCAGCTCCAGATTCTGTTTGACTTCATTTATTGGTGTGTTCTTCTTAAGATACTGAATCTTGGTATATTTAGCACATTGAGAGGCAGACTGGCTTCAGTGATTCAAACGGTGGTTTCCAACCTTGGGTCCCCAGATGTTCTTGGACAACAACTCCCAGAAATCCTGGCCAGTAGAGGTGGTGGTGAAGGCTTCTGGGAGCTGTAGTCCAAGAACATCTGGGGACCCAAGATTGGGAACCACTGGATGAAAAGAGTGGTAAAATATCTTCAAGGACAGTGCTGAGAAAATGCAGATGCATCTCCATAATCATGGATACATAATTGGTCGTGTCTTTGTTCTCAAACTCACAACTCAGCCGATGGTTGTTTCGGGGATGCATCCACAGTTAACTGCTGGGGTCCAAGCTCGTTTATCCGGCACAAGTGATGGTCACAGATAATGGGGAAAGCAGTCTGACAACATCTGGGGATCCAAAGTTGAGGAAGAGTGCTCTAAATTCTTCGAAGGTGCTCATTCCAGCTTTATTTACTGCGCATCACTGAACATCCAGGTGCAGGCAATCCTCTTGAAGGTTGCCCGGCTTTGATGAGAGGCTGGATGAGAATGGACAAGGTCAGATGAAATGAAGACAAAAGAGCTACCGGTCAGTAGAAGATGGTCTGGGAGTGTCCTTATGCTATATCTCTCCCCTAGACCAGACCTGGGCAAAATGTGGCCCTCCAGATGTTGCTGAACTACGACTCCCAGTAATCCTAGCCCACACAGCCAATAGTGAGGAGTGTTGGGATTTCCAGTTCCACAACATCTGGAGGGCCGCACTTTGCCCAGGTCTGCCCTAGACCAATAGTTTCCAAACTTGGCTTCCCAGATGTTCTTGGACTACAACTCCCAGAAACCCTGGCCAGCAGAGCTAGTGCTGAAGACTTCTTATTTCCTCAGACAGCTGTAATGCATTCAACCTGGGAATCCCTTGTGAAATCCCTGCCTGGTAGCCACCGTTGATGGAAATTGTGGCAGCCGGATTGCTAACCAATACAAGTTGTCGTGATGCTTTTGAGGCTGAAAGAGCTGGGGAGAATACTGATTGCTCTCCCCCTCCGCTATTGTTTGATATGTGGTTGCCCTTTGGCAGGCTTGTAGATAGCCGCTGGACACGCACACTTCATGTTCATCTCTAGGGATGCAAATGTTCCTACACCGGGGTCCTTCTTCGGCCGCCACATGCCAATTGCAGCAGCAACCTGGCCGGCCCTTCCCCGCCTCCCCAGACAACCAGCCACTTCAGTAGAGGGAGTGAGACAGGGAGTGAGTGGTCGGCCGCGTTGGGAGTCAGGGCTCCTGTTGAGACTGGTGCGCTGCTGCTGGAGAAGGACCCCAGCGCCACACAGAACCCGGTGTGTAGCCTGGGTGGTTCTGAGGGTGGGAATTGGTTCATATTTCGCATCCCTAGAGACAGATACGAAGTGTTTAATAGGTCACTTGTGGCAAGTGAGAACCGCTAATTGGCAACCAGGGCAGCATTTGCGAAATGCAGAGCTGTGTATTTCTTTTTCTTATGTTCTTTCAGGCCATTTATAGTCCATAAATGGCTTCCTGAGATCGGCTTAGGAAGGAAGGTTAAGAAGAAGCATGAATATTCATAGGTTTTTTTTGGGGGGGGGGTGTCTTTACAACTCCTAGACTACTCCATGCAATTACGCTGCCTTGGGAGTTCTGGTATCTGAAGTCCCAAAAGCATAAATCTGCACACCTCTGCTAAATATTTTTGTGAGCTAATATTTCTTTTGTGGGCCTATTGGTCCAGGTCTGCCTTACTTACACCCTTTTCCCTTTCTTTCCGCTCTCCAGATCGTCTTTGATGTGGTGCCAACGCTCCCCGATATCCCTTTACCTCCCATCCAGGCCAACTACCGCCCACTCCCTTCGCTCGAATCCATTCCCCCTGCCCAACCAAAGAGGAAAGGTACGTTGCGAGCCAAGATCTAGGCAAAATCGGTTACAGAGAATCCTTTTCTGCCCTTGAGTGCTGGGTGGAGGGTGAGAGAAGTAAACCCCCTACGTAGCACCAGTCCAGCGTGGATCGTGAATGATCTCCTTTTCCGATCATTTTTCATCCAGTTCCACACGTCTGCATTTCGTTCTCGTAACCACTGACGCGAACTGTAGAAGAGAAACATCTGAAGAGCCTTCCTTAGCCTTAGACAAGGGAAGCATCAAACAAGATGCTTGGACACCTCCTTCTCTGACTTCGGGGACATAAGCAGGCTGTCATTATTTGCACACTGTGCAATTGGGATTCTGCATAATTTAGTTCCACATCCATTGATACTTTGCCTTGCAGCCGACTCGGAATGGGAGTGTTTGCTTTTGGGCAGAAAAGAAATGCAGTTAATGCTTTATTCCAAATGCATTTGCTTGTTTGTCTTTTTAGCATTTAGAATATTCCTCACATTAACAGAATTAAAGTGTTAAATTATGATGGTAATGTTTTGCTTTTGGGCAGAAAAGAAATGCAGTTGATGCTTGCTTGTCTTTTTAGCCATTAGAATATTCCTCAAATTAACAGAATTAAAGTGTGAAATTAGGATGGTAATGCTTTCCAAGGGGCAATTGTGTTTGTACATCATAGAAGAAACAAGGGCATGTTGTGGTACCTTGAATACTCCACATGTTTTATTTGACATAAGCTGTTTTGGGTGGCAATGGACAGCGCTTAGAAGCCAATTTTCCAAAACTTGAAAGGGGTGGACTTTGGTGAATTAGAATGGACTCCTACTAACTGAAGGCAGTTATTTGTCATGAGATGAGAGCAGTGGTTTTCAAACCGAACTAGACAAATTCATGATCTATATGTTTATCAATAGGAAGCCATAATATTGCTAAAAGGATCTTCCAGGTTCAGCAGCAGTATACCTTTGTGCTCTCTGCAGGAATGGCAAGCTCCCTGGAGTCATTGGCAGGGTTGCTGCTGGAGATGAAAAGCTGTGGAGTGTGGACATTCATGGGGGAGTGATTGGCCAGCTGTTGGCCTTGCCTTGCACCTTTTTATGGGATCCATACAATCTTTGTGTTGGATCCAACCAAAGGCCACTCTAGTCCAGCATTCTCCTCCATCAGCATCCACCAGGGAAGAGCGCAGGCAAGATGTGACTGCAGAAAGCAGTCTCCCACGTAGAGTCCTTAGAAACTGGCAGCGAGAGACCTTCTCCTCCTCCCCATCCTGGGGGATATAGATAGCCCTCCAGATGAATAGCTGTTGATAGCCTTCTCTTCCTTGAATCTTGCTAATCCGTTCTTGGAGCCACCCAAGCAGCCATCATGATATCTTGTGGCATTGAGTTCCACAATGTAACAATGCATTAGGTGAAGACATACTTCTTTTAACTGGCCCTGGATCTCCCCCACCCACTTGGTTTCAGGGGATGATTCTAGAGTCTTGAATTGTGAGATGAGGCCTTTCTGGGGCGTTCCACCATGACACATTCACAGTGGCAGCTCCTTGCTTGTCCTTTCCTCCACCTTGCAGCTTTGTCCTCTCCCATTGAGGAAGACGAGGCGGGCTTCACGGGACGCCGGCTGAACTCCAAGATGCAAGTGTACTCGGGCTCCAAGACCGCCTACCTTCCAAAGATGATGACGCTCCATGAGCAGTGCATCCGGGTCCTCAGCAATAACATTGACTGTGAGTTTCCAGAGGTTGATCCCTCTCCTGGAGCAGAGCGTCCTGGGGCAGCTGTGGCTGGCTAATCAAGTCTGCACCTCTGCTTGTCTCAACATGGCAGACGGCAGCTTCCATTGGCCAGGATTTGTCATCATTGCATGGGGGGTGATGATCGGCAGGAAAGGGAGTGGGGTGCTTAATACTCTCCTGCCACCAAGTCTTCTCCTGGGTCTCAAATGGACAACAGTAGCCCTCCGGAGCTTTTGGTCATCCCTTTCTCTCCCCACTTTTCCTCTCTCCCCCTAGCAATCTATGAAGTGGGGGGCGTCCCTTACTCTGTACTGGAACCAGTCTTGGAGAAATGCACCCCGGAGCAGCTGTACCGCATCGAAGAGTGTAATCACGTAAGTGTCCCAGGGCAGAGGGTGCTTGGGAGTGAGTGGTGCTCACCTCTGTGTTTTCCCTAAGTCTACAGTTCAAGTCTGCATCTGCAGCAGGTTTAGGACAGGGCAGAGCCCAGCCCGCTTTCGGTAACCTTGCATACTTCCTGTGGGTAAGTGGGAGTCGAGTATCAGTCTGGCTTCCTACGTCAAACAGGGCGTTGCAACCTAAATGAAGGGAAGATTACAGTAAGACCCCCTTATCTGCATGATCAGTATCCGCTGATTCACTTATCCGCAGTCTGAAATTTTTAAAAATATTAAAAGAAAATTCCTAGAAATATGTTTCTAAATATGAAGTTTACAGAACTGGCCACTAGAGGGAGCCAGAACCAACACTATGTGTAATGTTTACTATTAAAATAGAGTTTGCTGTTTTTCAGCATCTGCAAAGCAGGGCTGGGAGCCCGTCCCCCACAGATACTGTACAGGGGTCCTACTTTACAGTACTTTGAATAAAGCTGTCGCTGTGGACAAGGATGGGGCTCACGAGACTTCCTCTCGGCTTAGTTTTTTGCTAACAACAGACCAATTGTTTGCAAAGGTTAAATCAGTACACCATGTACCATGTACAAATTGTCTGTCACACAGATTTTAAGACTCTGGTGCAACAGATAATTCAGTGTTGTCTAAATCAGAGGAAGTCTGTTTCCACAAGCACGTGGACTCAGTGCGGTTTTGCCGCCAAAGAATGGCGTTCCCCGGCTTTACCGATCTTACAAAAGGGTAAAACTCATCAGCCGATCTGCGTAACACCGGATTTGCTTGGGGATGCTTGTGAGAGTGTCCTCTCAACTGCATCAACCCACAGTTTGGTTTTTAGAACTCATTATTTTAGATGGAGGGCTTGCTAAGCAACATCGTTGCTATTGGGATTTGAGATCTGAGAGGCGGCAGAAACCTGATCCACCAAAGTAGCACGTATCTTACTCTTGTCGGTGAGTTTTTTTGTAAGTTGATGCCTCTGAAGAAAAGAAGAAGCCCAAGAGAGCTTTAAACAAGATCCATGTATGCTTATGTTTCATCCCACTTTCTTTAGCCCCCCCCACGCCCCTTGGTGACTGTTGATGATCTCTAAGGGCAGGAGAGGGAACCTCTGACCCCCCCACCTGTGGTGGCAGCAGGACTTTCTGGCTCACTGACCATGGGTTGACCCATGGGACCGGAGATGGTGGGGGCTGCCATCCAGGCCATCTGGAGGACATCAGAATGCCACCCAGGAGTATATGTGGGTTCTGTGCTGTCCTCCGCTTTGTGCAAGGCCGACGGTCTGAGAACGCAGCTGGGTTCTGCTCTCCCAAGCCTCCGTGACAATGGGGATGCTGGGTTTTACTTCCGAGGAATTGGGTCTTAGTTTGAGCAGGGCGTGCCGTTCACCAGCTGTTGCTATTCTAAAGGAGTCTCTGAGGTATAAATGGAGATGAAAAGAGGTAGAGGTGTGTCAGGCGTCTCTGGAGAGGGAAAACACGGGCACACACACTGCTCCTTGACTTTTCAAGCCCCAAGGCGTTGAAACTCTTGATTCCCTTACACAGGAGGTTGTGTGGAAGCAACAAAATGGCTGCCACAGTGTGGGGTGGAAGCAACAAAATGCCTTGCGACACACCTTCCCCAGGCAGAACAGGGAGCCTCTGCAGGCTGGATTAGATTCCCACCTGCATCCAGCAGCAGATCACATCGATAGCACCAAAGGGGGATCTTCTTGTCTTCTGGGCCAGGATCAATCCACGTGGTGTGACTAGCGCAGGGATTCATTTGTACAGCCCATTCAAACAATCAAAGAACCTCTGGCTATAACCCCATAATGCAAGCACACACAAGCATGCCCCCCCAGATGTTGGACTACAACTCCCACTTGTCCTAGGGTTAATAGGAGTTGTGGTCCAATGACATCTGGAGGGCTGCAAGTTGCCCACCCCACTTTAAAGAAACCGTCTGTTAAATTAGTGCTATATCCTGATTAGGCAGAGTGGGTCCGAATGGCTTGCCCAAGGCTGCTCAATAAGTTCATGGTGGAACCAAAATTCAGACTGGAGACTTCTTGATTCTTAGTTCCATGTCCTAAACCACGTCGTTGGGTAGCTCTTTACTGGTTAGGTCTGATATGCCTAAACCCTGCGTCCGGCCTTTCCTTGGATCTTCTCCGCCAGGTTTTAGTTGAGGACACCGACCGGTTGTGGCACGTTCACTGCCTTCGCGATTTCAAGAAGGAGAAGCCCGAAGAGTTTGAGACGTGGAGGGAGATGTACTTGCGCCTGCACGATGCTCGGGAGAAACGGCTACGCATGCTGACTCAAAACATCCGATCAGCTCACGCCAATAAACCCCAAGGTAGCTCAGCAGACGGGGTGGCCGGGTGGGGCCTTCCCGTAAAACGAGAGGGGGAAATGCTGGCGGTTTCTTTCTGAATTTGAAGGCACTGAAGATTTGGCCCAGAGAGCAGGACAATCGAGGTTCAGGGGTTCAGTATGTTTCTCATAATCTCCTCCATGAGATGAACATGTTGCCTGGGGCATGCTGGGAGTTGTAGTCCAACAAAGCAGCTTCTGGGGATTGGGGACCCTGGAAGTGTTTTTAACAAACTAGTGTAAGTGCAATTAGAAAAATAATCACCCAGCTTCTTTCAGTGAAAAATGTCCATGGATCCCCAGTATTGGCCTCCCCTTTCTTTGTTGTAAGCCGCCCAGAGACCTTTGGGTAGCGTGGGCGTCATACAAGTTAAATAAAAAAATAAGTACTAAAGAAGAACTCCAAAGCAGGCAAATATTTCAGGGGTTCAGCACTTCCCATCACAGCCCTACATTGATAAGGAAGCATGGGAAGTTTGTGGCCATTCCCATCATCCTTCATTCAGCATGATCTGTGCTGGGTAAGTTTGTGGCCATTCCCATCATCCTTCAGCATGATCTGTGCTGGCTACGGCTGATGGAGTTTGCTGCCCAAAATGATCCTCACGTATTCCCCGCTGTGCCTCTTTGACAAGGGCTGGACTTGATCATCCATAGGGTCCCTTCCAGCTCTGCAATTCTATGATGATGATGATGATGATGTTCCCCACCCTTGTTTTGAAAGAATGGCAACCAAAGTTGGATGTAAGACGATGTCCGTTCTGTAGGGCCACCAGTTTGAGATCCTGTATTTGAAGGGCTCTTGCACTGAAATGGCTGGTGGACGGCTTGCATTGTGTTGCCGGGAAGAAACTATCATGGGGATGGTTCTTGTAGAAAAGGACTGTGGAGTAGAAGGCAGCCTCTCCCAATGGTTACCCCTTCACCAGTGGCTTCAAGGCTTGACAGAAGGAGCTCTTGGTCTAACTGGGGCTTCTTTCATGTTGTTCCCTTTTAGGCAGGGTCGCCAAGATGGCGTTTGTGAACTCAGCAGCCAAACCACCCCGGGATGTGCGACGAAGGCAAGAGAAATTTGGGACCGGAGGAGCGGCAGTCCCAGAAAAGATCTAGTGAGTCCGTCCTAGAATGCTTTTTTTTTCCCATTCAGGTTGGTAGTTGGGTTTTGCCTTTGAGGGATCTTCTTGGGGGGTGGGCCACTCCGAGTTGCAGTAAGTTGGAAGTGGCTGGGCACAACAGTGAAGACCAAGTAGAGGGAAGAAGAC